TCTTTTAATTCAATAGTAAAAGAATCTGCCTCCATAATGACTTAGCGTTCTGCCTATTGTGGATTATATTTTCCTTTTTAAAGTTCTGTAATACATTTTCCCCAACTCTAGCCTCAGCCCTGTCCCCTTACCTTTTTTAGCTTAGATCAAGTGACACTGTTTCAGACATCTACTTTTACATATCAACCATCCATTAACTCTCAACCTTCTCACAAATCATGCTCTTTGTCTAAAGCTTCTTTTGTAATATGTCAACATAAAATCTATCTTTTCTTCCTTCAAAGCCAACTCCACACATAGCTTTAGTTAACAATGAGAGAAAAAGAGTAAATGATTAACCTATATACAATATCCCAGAACACCTTCAAATCATGGACTTTGTAGGAAAGCCCAGATAGGAAGGGGTCCAAGTCTGGCCAATTCAAACATCCCACTCTCTGGCCGCAATGAATGGTCTAGGCATGTGTGTGTGACCCACATACATATGTGACCTGTGCTAAGCTGAAAAGAATTCTCTCCTGGACTTCTAGAGTTACAGATAAAGATCTTCTCTGAGTGGTAAGGCTGGTAAGCTGGAAGGATGTGAGTTTGGGGCAGTTGGCAGCCATCATGTGTGCCAGCACTTGTCAGAGAAATAAGCCTGTTAGTGACAGATAAAAGGGTAACGGAGATTGAGGAAACGGGTAACACAGACCTTAGTTTTTCCTGTAAGATTCTCTTTTTTCCACAAATGAGAATAAAGTCACCTATATCCTTAGAACTTAAACAAATGTCCCCTTTACACTACCCTCAAAACAGTAACAAAATCAAACCAAAAAGGGTGAGGAGGGCATCTTAAGGGAAAGAACTGTGAACAAAGGCCACCAGAAAGGAAAAGAACAAAGCAGAAGTGGGATGTATACAAAGGGAAGCAGTGGAACAAGAGGCTGTAAGATGGACTGGGGCCACATTCACAGCCTTCAAGGCCAGGGCAGATGGCACGGAACCAATCAAGCTTCCTAACACTCAATGCAGCAGCCAGGTGAATCTCAGCTCTCTCTACACACCTGTTTTCTGTGGCAGGAACTTTCAGGATATGTATTTCACTTAATTCTTATTCTGTAACAATGCCCATTCACCAAGTAATCTGAAAGATTTTAAAGCTATTCAAACTCCTTTAGAAGAGGCAGGCACATACATACATCGGAACTGTGGTACTGAAAAGCAATCCTCACATCTGGGTTCTATAAATCAGTTCTCTCAAGAGCTACTGCTTTAAACAGCCAGCATGAAATTACTCAACTCTTGGCGATACTTGGATTATTCTAGAAGCAAGAAGTCTATTCTTGTGAGTTCACTCCATTATCAGCTTCTTCCACGGGAATGAAATATCCTGGCAGACAGCAGCTTTTCACTCTCCATTAATATTTATTGAGTCTCTGGTGGAAGTGGAAGGCAATTTGACAAGACACGCCAAAAGCCTTAAATATGCTTATTCCAAAAATCCATATAAGGAAATAATCTATAGTGTAGATAAGATTTATGCACAAAAATGTTCAGTGAATTAATTATAAGCAATCTAGTTTCCAAAAATAATGGAATAGTTGTCATGATATAGCCATATGATGAAATAATAAGCAGCCATTAGAAATTTTTTATGAGCATCTTAAAATGATATGCAAATGAGACTGTATTTTAATATTAAGTCAGGAAAGGGGATACAAAATTGTACATCCAGTGTAACAACATATAAATTTCAAAATTATTTTTATAAAAATTATATATATACACACACAGATCCCAACACTAAACATATTAACATGGCTGTCCCTGGGTTATAGGATTGTGAGGTTTTTTTCCTAGCTATTTTATAATTATCTGTGCTTTCCAAATATTCATCTTTGAGCATGTACTATTTTGAGAATCAGAATATAAAAGTAGAACCTGAAAAGAAATATAACAAAATGCCATTTTTTCTAAGTCACAGCATTATGAGTATTCTTTATTTTTATACATTTCTGAATTTTCTAAATTTGTTTGATTATACACAGATAAGTGGGTTTTGTTGAAGAAATATATCATATAGTCAGAGAAGTTATAGCATGTCTCAGCTCTAATTCCAAACTTTTACACAGTTTCACAAAGAAAGGGAAATTAAACTACTCTGAAGTAGATAAATGGACAATAAGCCTGCTGATTCATTGCATCAGTGAGCAGCAGGCTTTTTTCCTTTCTCATCAATTCTTAACTCTAATTACCCCTTTCCTCATTGCTCTTCTATCTAACTGTAGCTGCTGTTTGCCTCAGAAGCTATACAGCAATGAAGTCACTTAGGACAATCAAAGAACCAGAAAAATGATACACTTTTAAATACATTTTCAATTATCGGTGGGGTGGGGGGCAAAGCATGTAGTTGATTAGTAAAGAAAACACAGAGGGAAAAGACCATTCAGACTGAAGTTGTAAGCTTGGGTAAAGATGCGAAGATTAACTTCCTGGGGATATCATCAAAGATACCTTAAAGATTTTTTTTGAGCCAAGACAGGAGATCAGAAGGAAGCCCTGATTAAATGGCTTCAGGTAACCCCATGCCACAGTTATGCTAATGGACAATACCGATGCCAAGGCTGAATGTCTTTCCATTATTGACCAGGCCGGTTTTAGATTGGCCTGCTCTGTCTCCTGAGAATGCCCAGTGGCTTCTAGGAAGCCTCTAGGCAAAATAGGTTGACTTCTCACATCGCAGCTCCTACCTCTTAGGCCTTCTATCAGCCTGTCGCTAGACTCCTGACCTGGCTGTCCTTAAGTCTCCAGAACATCACAAAAGCCATCAGCAAAGACAAAGAAAAGAATGGTAGAAGAACATTCGTGAGTGCCAGGAGGAGGAAAAAAGAAGGACTTTTTTTTCCTTAGAACAAAAAAGAACATGTACATTCAAAACCAGTGACAGACAGGGGACAAACAGTAACACCACCATTCTATTTGTATCAGAACTGAACTAAGTTTTATTTCATGAGGCCAGATCACGTTACTATATTAAACCTTTATCCAAAATATCAATAATTTTTGCAGACTATTTTTTTTATTAAGATATCATAGATATATAATCTTATGAAGATTTTACATGAGCAACACTGTGGTTACTACATTCATACATATTATCAAGTCCCCCTCCACAGTGCACTGTAGTCACTTGTCCATCAGCATAGTAAGATGCTATAGAGTCACTACTTGTTTGCCAGACTATTTTTAAACCTTAATATTAAAAAATGATTTATAATTATACTTCTAAAACTTAATTTCATTTATATTTAAGTATATTTTATGTGTGAAAAAATCCCAAAGGATATATACCAAAATATTAACACGGTGAAAAGTAACAAGTGATTTTTACTTAGTTACCTTTTGGTTTTCTCCTATTTTGCAATTAGCATGTAATTTTTTATGTTCCAGTTTTTCTTTTTTGGGAACAGGGGCACTCAACTGGGTGAAAATAAATGTTTTCACACTTTTAGGTAGGAGTATATACACACTATTTCTGGAATTCCTCACAATGAATTTTACTGTCACACACTCTCAAATGATCTCCTTCTAGGTAAATTATATCAAATACTAACAGCAATCAAGTTCAACTGGTTTAACCGAAGATCCAAACCATAACTGAAGTTAGATCAAATCAAAAACAACCAAACCCAAACTTTACTGCCACCATTTATCAAAAAATAATATGACTTCCTGTTTTCAAGTAAAGGATCTATTTAGCAAATGATTCCCTAATAGCACTAGGATGATTGTTATAAAGTAAGAAATAGTCACACCAAGAGGTGTTTTAACACTGGAATTCAATTTGTAACAATGCTATGAGCCTGCCTCTTCCAAAGCAAGTTTCATCTGTCTTACCAAGGAACTTTAGCTTTAAGTAAACCCAATTCCTTACATCTTAGTTCTGGACATTTGCACATGGGAAAGAACAGGCAATAGATTCAGGAAGAATGGGGTCTTTCAATCCCAATTCCACCCAATGTCATGTTATGAAATCTGATCCTCAATTTCTTCACGTGTAAAACAGGGATAACAAAAACCACCTTGTGACATTGCTCCAAGGACTGGAGATGATGGATGTTTAGTATATAAAGTAAATACCCATAAATCAGTATGATATAACTCATTTGCCTATGAGATAGAGATTAGTTCTTCCTTTTGAGGCAAAAGCTATAGAGAGATTCCACTGTACTTAACATAAAATGAGTATCTGAAAATAACTTTGCCAGAGATATATACAGGTCAGCTGATTCCTAGAAGCAAGGAGTTGGTTTCCCAACACATTCCTTTCCCGCCTAGTACCCTCTGAGTCTACATCCTGTCGCTTCTGATAATCAGCTGTGACCTCTATCCCACAAGTAGAAGAGTCAGGCTGCACAGGCTTATAAGGGTCCCATTCCTAAGCACTCATTCCATCTTCCCATTTCTTTCAGGGCCATTCAATAGATAAAGTAGACAGATGGAGAGCTGCTCATTCATTTTACTGATTTTCAGATTGGCAGTAGAGCTACAGGAAAAGCAAACTAGGAGGAATAGTATCCTCTAAGAAAATACTAATGATTCAAGTTGAATTTTGCATTTCCGAACATAAAGCCAAGAAAAACCTTTTGTATTAGTAACAATTTCTCCTTTAGGAAAAGATTTTGTTGTTGATAAGTGTCCTTTCCAATAAGGGACCTTCCCCCACCTTCTCTGCAGTGAGGTGACAACCCTCCATTTGGCATCTGTGAACTGCACTTTCCAGTATCATTTGGGGAAGGAGATCTTAATCACAAAGGAACAGCTCAACCTACAACCATGAAACAGGCACCTAGTGGGCAATTTTTGAACATGATAGCAAATCATTTTAAATAAACTTGATCCAATGACCAAAAGAACATGAAGGGGTCATGATCAGCTATGAAGAGAGATCCACTTCTACAAGACCACCAACATAGGGAGGGAAGCACTGTAGAGATCCTGTACACAGCCCTCCTTGGTGCTTGTACAGTCCTTACCTGACAGTCAAAGTCCTGGAAGTTTCGTGTACCATTCTGTCAACAGAAGGCAGAAAACACAGTCAGTTTCCCCATGTGGCTTCCCCAAAGGCACAGCAAATTCAGTTCACAGTGAAAGCCGTGCATATGCAGCCTCCCTAGTTGCCATTAAAATTAAAATGGTTCTCATCAAAAGGCTCCAGAGGCAGGGTGAGTTCCTAACATGTGTTAGTAAAAGGTGAGATTACTCTTGGGCGGGCTTCCTGTGAAGACAAAGGAAAGGAGCATGGTTTCCCAGTAAAGCTTCTTGCCTCCCTATCTAAGTGGGTAGTGAGAACTTGAGGAAAGAGGGAAAAACATGGATCAGAGTCTGAAAGCACAGTCACACCCACACAAGAAGTACCTGGGAAGAAAGAAGTTGGAGGACAACCCTGAGAGGAGTGGAGGAGGAGCAGCCAGGATGGCCAGGACCTAGAATTAAACAAAGGATCAAGAAAAGAACAAAGACACAGATGGATCAGAAATGGAAGACTTGCAATTTAACAAGGAAGAATGGCAGTGTCACTGAAAGAAAAAAAGACAAAACAGGATATCTAGTACACTGGCATATCTGTTGCATCCCACAAAAATGGTGATAGGAAAAAAGCACAAATCACTAAATCACTTAAAAAAGTAGAACACAGTCAAAAGATCCAAGGAGAACAAATGAAGCTTCTAAAAGGAGATTATATAATAAAGTGTGATTGAAAAAAAAATCAATGGCAATGACTCAGAGGCATTTTTGTAGCACTTTAGATGCCAGAGTTGCAATAACATGACGTAAGAGTATAAAAAGAGTAAAGAATGATGTACTTGGGAGAAAAAAAATGCTTCTGACTTGATGTTTCATAAAGTTCATAAACTTCCACTGAAAAAAACTTCTCATTATTTAGAAACTGTGTTATCATATCAATTCTGTCTACGATGGCTTCCAGAAGATGTGAGCTGCTAATAAGTACCTTCGCAAAAGCTGCCCCTTCAGGAAAGATCTAGACGTCTATCTGATAACCCAACAGAATACTAAATAGTCCCATACCCCTTTCAAGAAGATCCTCTTAGAAACAGTTCTGTACCCTACCACCCACACTGCTGGCAGGACAAAACAAGAGGTGAAAAGCACAGCTAGCTTAGTATGACAAAAAAACACCCAAAAAACAAACTGCCCTTTTGTTTGAGAGGAACTGGTAGAAACAGCTGAGATGATCTGGAGCAGCACTAGCCAATGATAGCCATTAACCACACATGGCAATTAAAATTAAAATTAAAAATTTAGTTTCTTAGTTACATTAACCACATTTCAAGGCTCAAAAGACAAACACTGCAAGTGGTTACTGTATTATTAGGCAGTGCATACAGAGCACATTCCATTATTTCGGAAGCTTCAATGGAGAAAGCACTGCTCTGGAGACAGAAAGCTTTTGAAGGAATAAGGCTATGGATGAGCAGTCCTTGTTTCTCTAAAGTGACAGTAAAGTCCCAACAGATTACCGATCACAAAGAGACTGTAGATGACGCTGAGAAGAGGAAAGAGAGTGGTAGAGACAGCTAGGCTGAAGTACTACTCCTGGCATAAAACCAAGTTCACAAAATAAGGTTTGATACAGTCACAGCATGGCAAGACAACTAAGACAACTAAGAGACTGTGCAGATGGGACTGCGTAGCATATTTTCAAGGAACGCTGCTGTTGTTAAAAAGGATCAAAGTGTTCCATGGCTCCTACCAGCCTCATAAAATGCCTCAGAACTTCAGAGAAGTCATTGTGTTTAATTTCCAGTCAGACTATGAGAAGGGAAGACACTCATGGACCAGGGTAGATGGTTTCAGCCAGTGAGTTCCTGGTTCCTGATTCAACTTATCACCTTTCCCCAAAGACAGCACAGTGCCTGGTGTACAGCAGGTGCTTGATACATATTTATAAAACAAATAAGCCAATGTAACAAAACTAAATAGTAAAATATTTTTGTTAAGACTACAGATCAAAAATAACAAAAAACACTACTTCCAGTTTAATAACTACACTATCAGTATAGTTATTGATAATAAAGTAGGATAAAAAGTAGATTTTACAGTTTGACCTTAACTACATTGAAATATGCCCTAGAAAAAGATAAGAAAAATACCAAAACTTTAATAATTGCAGTTACTTCTGAATAGAGAGATTATAGGTGATTCTAATTGCCTTTATGTTTTTCTACACAAAGCATGAACTCCCCTTTTTGCAATAGAAAATGAGAAACAAAGGATTTGATACGGTACAAAAAATATGTTTGTAACTTATATTTTGTAATATAAGATTTAAAGATTCACTTAATCTTTTGAGGAACCATTTATAATGATATCAAAATGGACTATATTAGGGCTTCAGTCTTACAGGATTCCCAGAGGTTCCTTTAGTGTTAGAAAGATTAGAGAAATTCACTCTAGTCTGACTAAAATCTTGGTCATGGAATAGAGACATAAACTCTGATGTATTTGGGAAGCAGCTGTCACTGTATGCAGGAATTCCCCTTCCTTGTGGTCATGGGATCACAGTCATGATGCATTTCGTGAGGCCCTGAAGCTCCTGAGATGAACACAAAGGGAGAAGCCAAAATCAGAAAGAGGCAATTCTCTCCAGAAACCAAAGCTATCTCTTTGTTATAGAGATAAACAACTAGCAATAAACAACTACATGTTCTTAATTCAATGTACACAGCTAGACTCCCAGAAAAAAGGTACTAATAATTGGACAAAGACTAATACTTGTTTTCTTGCTTTTTTTTTTTTTAAAGAAATGCCAGACCCTTTTTGGAGAATGTCTTCAGGCTTCACACGTGATCATCCTGAGAAAGGAAATGCCTGTGTCTGTTTGACAGTATTTGGCACCCAGAGTTTCTTAGCGGAGAATCACTAGCTGTTCCCCACCCAACTATAGTCAAGGACAGCCATATTCTCTAACTCATTAAAAACTCAGTCTTACTCACTGGGTGAACTCTGGAAAGAGAGACTTCCCTGTGGACTTATTTGTCTCTGATATTTGAGATACATGATACCATTCTATCAAAACTTCTAGAAGTTTCAAGTTCTGGGTGTTTTCCTTTTTCTTTCTGTTCGTTTTGAAGAAATCTTTAATTCCATGTTCAGAAAGATTCTTGCATTAAGCAGACTTAAGTAGCAGAAAGGGATTAAAGAAAAAATGTAAAATAATGTATAATTTTGGGGAAAACAGAAAAAAGAGCAAGTCAAGGAAAAAGATGAATTACTGAAGGTTGTAGTCAAGACAGAAGCCAGCTAAGGGAAGTGTTTCTTGGTGGAGTCTCAGTGCCAAATACAGCAGGTAAATGAAGCAGCTCAAGAAGGTAAATTAAAAATAAATAATTCTCTCAAATACAAGTCTGGGGTATAAGCAAAAAGTAACTGAGACTAGGTCAATGAAGGAAGAGAAGTATGAAAAAGGGGGGGATGGGGAGGAAAGTTTAAAATACAAGTAATTGCTAGGGAGAAGAAATGTGGTTTCCCAACAGGAGATCTAGTCAAGAGAAAAATATATAGCTTCAAAAGACAGAAAGTAACAGATAAAATATAAAGACAAGATACATAAGATGTTAGAACCAAGTACCAAGAAGAAAAGATCTTGGGTGAATCTACCCGCTTCTGTGAACTTGAAGCAGGGTGGGACGGGCAGGCGAACTGTCTGATTCACCACTCTATTCCCAGTCCTGGCACTTAATAAATGCTATAAACATCATTTGTAGAGGTTATAAGCATCTCAAAATAGAGATACTCAAGTTGAGTAAGAAATGAATACCAAAGAAGAGTTACATGCAATTGATATGCTAGGAACTACAGTGGGGAGGAGTTGTTAATAACAGTAAGTTTTAGAAACAAGTTGACTAAAAATAAAACTGTCAAAGAGAATAAAATATGGCATTTCTGTTAAGACAATTCTTACCAACAGAAAGCGGAAAGGTGGGGAATTGTACAGAAGGGTTAGGTAAGCCCAGAAAACACTTTAGCATAAAGATTGATATAATCGATTAACATAAATTAACAAATCAGTGTTTTACAATCATCAGTAAACCATTTTAAAACAGAAGTCTGTTCAAGCTAATAACCCAGAGACAAAAAACAAAATTCCATATATATATATATATATGTGAGTATGTGTGGTTGTGCTGGGTGTATGTGCATATATATTTTAAGAATCTGTATTATTACCTTCAAAAAATGCTAATTAAGAAACTGAGACTCTATAAAGAAACTTGTAAAGAGATCAGATACTTAGATAAAACTATCTATAATCAGATAATCATCTGCAGACTGCTGAAAAAGTACAATTTCACCTCTGCGCTAACATACTATCATGCTAATGGTTATGTTTCCCTGACCCCTGCATTAAAAGCTCCTTGGGCACCCTTCTAAGTTGTGGCTAACGTTTGGGTTCTTCCCACCATCTCCTGCTGATTTTGTAGCTGGTTGAGGCTTGGCTACTTGTTTGAGAACTCATTTCCTGCTCCACTGCAAATTAGGGCATTTCTGACAATAGATGGGACAATCAACACTTTCAACATATTGTGAGACACCCACCCTCTAGTGCACAGTAGATGTAGCACTTCACGAATATTCATGAAGATGTCAATAAATCTGTTTTTAATTAAAAAAAGAAAAAGAAAAAGAAATCTTGGCACCAACACTCTGCCTGTCTCTGCTCTCCTGCAGTAACAAAAATGCTCATCCCTGGGATCTCCTTCCTTCTTCTAACATTCTTCCACCTCTGCTTACGTTTCCAGTCATTAGTAGGAAGGGAAAACTAAAAAGTTAAAAAAGGGTCTATCTCACTTTCTACTTTAACAATCAACATGTAGTAAGTAACTTGCTTTCATTCTCCCCACTAAATTTTTCTTCCCCTTCTTGATATTTCCTCAATTCTGCAGAAGCCAACTGTGGTCTCCTACTTATTTTCTCAAGCCTGGCCTTTGACTTTCACAAAGCTCAGCAGTACCTGAAGCAGTAGTGGGTAGAGGAGGGCAGGGAAAATGAGGCACAAACTAGTCTGCTCTCTTGCTTGTTACAAGGTCTGCTGGGTGAGGAGGTTGGAATGACCAGCTACCAGAGGCAGCAGAAGGGAGGAAGAGTCCCAGACCCCCAGTCCAGGTTGAAGTCAACAGATGTGGGTTCTAGTTTTGGTTTTGCTACCTCACTAGACACTAACTTCCGACAAGTCATATAATCTCTCTGAGCATCATCTGTAAAATGGAGTTAAAAATGCCTTTAAGCTACTTGTTTCAGAAGAGGTTGGGAGACTTAATATTTTTGGAAATGCTCTGAAAATAGTTAAGTGCTATTTAAAAGAAAAATCATTTCTGCTCCTCAAAACAAAGACAAGTGCCAGCAGTTGCTTCTTTTCATTACTGGAGCCAAAAGAAGCATGACAAAATTACCCATTTCTTCACAATTCTGAGCCAACAAAATTATAGGCATACTAAAATTACACAGCAGAAGTACCAACAATGACAAGAGACAAGTTAACATAAGCCTCAGTTAAAGCTATTTTGAGAATGCTTACTTACAGCCATCTCGGGACAAACTTCTCCCTAACAGATTGAAATCTGGACTTTCTTTAGCTCCCTGAAGCCTGGAAGGATACAGCAATGTCTCTGGCTAAGAGTTTATCTATGAGAAGAATGGATAGAGAGATGAAGCGAAATAATACACATCTTAAAGAGACAGGGCAAGCCATGGAGGTGATGCTAAAACATCTGTGGGGTCCACAAAGTGGAAAGGCCTCAGGTTTTAGAGTAGGAAAGACCTGGGTTTCAGTGCTGGCTCTGCCATTTACTGACTGGGCAAGCCAGTCTTTCAGTCAGATTTTCATCTGGTGAGTGAGGAATACTACCTACTTCAAAGGTCTACTCTGATGCTTACTAGTAGAGAGAAGGTATGCAGAGCAACTGGCACATAAAAGATACTTAATAAATAACAGCAGAATAGGAAAAAAAAAACCCTCCCCCAAAACAAAAAAGCTCTAAACATCTACTCCTATTCAAATCTGGAGGCTTATATCCTAGAGCAGCGGTTCTCAGCCAGGGAGACTGCTCTCAGGGACACTGACAGTGTCTAGAAACACTTTTGGTTGTTATGACTGGGGGCCCTAGCATCTAGCAGGTGGAAGCCGAGGATGCTGCTGAACACCCTGTAATACACAGCACAGGGCCCACAGCAACTACCCAGCCCTGACATTAACTCAATCTGAATAAGGTACTTCACCTTTCTTAGCTTCAGCAATATGGGAATAACTGACCTGTGCTCCCTACATCACCAGGCTGCCAGGAGGAACAAATGAAGTGCCTGGTGAGAAGCATTATCATTATCATACCTTTCACAATGTATGCAGAAGCACCCACTTGCAGGGCAAAGCCACAATCACTGATGCACTGGGGTGGGGCAGGGGACAGGGGCAAGTGGGAGATAGAACTCCTTGTTTGTGAAAGCCACCATCCAAAGGGGGGGTGTTTCTTGCCAATCTACTTCTATATAGCTTGGCTGGAGCAGGCTCTCAGGAACAGTGATGGCAAAGGGGCACTTCTCAGGGAGAGAGATGGAGCATGGGAAGTGGGTAAAAACAGCACAGGCATATCAAAGAGGAGCTAACAGACGTTAGGAAGTGAGACACTGTTTGGTGTCTTAGCATGCTTGGTTGGGCTGCTTGAGTGGCATAAACAACAGAAATGTATTTTCTCACAGTTCTGGGAACTGGAAGTCCAAGATCAGGATTACAGCAGGATTTGGTTTCGGTTAAGAGATCTCTTCCTCTTGGGATGGCTGCCATCTTTCTGTTCCCTGACGTGACATGGCCGGGGGAGAGAGACAAAGAGCACTCTCACTCTGTCTCTGTCTCTGCCTCTGTCTTCCTCTTCTTATAAGGCCACCAATCCTACTGGATTAGGGCCCCACCCTCATGACCTCATTTAACCTTAATCCCCTCTTAAAGGCTCTATCTCCAGTACAGTCACCTGAGGTTAGAGCTTCAACATATAAATAGGAGGTGGGCACAATTCTGTCCACAGCATTTATGCATACATCAGACACAGACAAGGAATTACTGTAGCTTCAGAAAGGAGGACCCAAGCATTAATTTGATACTTCTCTATGGTCACATTCACGAATCTTTCCTTTTCTAGCTGCCTTCTCTATGAGATAACCAGTCAACTAACTCCGGCACCTCTTTCATACAGGTGCGTCCTCAGAGGTCACAGAAATGTCCTTTTATTTGCACTCCAGTCCTCAAATATGACACTCATCAGAGCATGAGTTTTCCAAACCAGCTAATCAAAATCACTTTGGGCATGGTTCTCAATTTTGGGAGTTCACAAAAAAGCCCAAACATACAGCACAGCACACCAATTCAATCAGATTCTTTGAAGGTAGGACCTAAGCATCAGTCATTTTTTAATCTTCCCAAGTAATTCCAATAAGCAGCCAAATCTGAGGGTCATTGATCACAGAGGGGGGTGTGTCCTGTCACCTCCCCTCAGATTCCAATCTAGTTGGCCCAGACTAGGACCCAGGAATCTGCATTTTTAAGGCAAATCCACAGCTGATTCTGCTATCAGCCAAGTTCAGGATAGGTTACTATTTCCTGAAGTTGACTTGCCTGGCTAACTCCTACCTGCCTGGAACGCTTCATTTCTGTGGCTATACAGAAGCTTTACAGATGTAGACTTCCTTTCCTTCATCCTTTTCATGGCACATCATTTTTGGGACAGCCCTTCACATGCACCAAAGAATAGAGTACTTAAAAAGGAAAGAGTTTTCTGTGGGGAAGCAGCATGAGAAACCAAATTAGGACTAAAAAAGTGTGCAGCTTGCAAAGAAAGACTGTAAGAAATCTAGTCAAAAATAAAGGAAGGGGTGGTAGTGGGGATGGAGAGATGAAGTCACAGGGATGAAAATGAAGCTGGTGGCTTCAGAGCCAATAATAAAGGCAGTAAGTCAACAGCCCCTAGAAGTAGGTGAAGGACCCTGCATTGGGCAAAAAAAGATAACAGGCGTCGACAGCACCTCCTGGGGTGGCTCCCTCTTTCCCCATCCCAATCTCGTTCATCTTTACCCTTATTCTTCATCAATACTTCCCTCAGGAAGGATGCCATGGACTCATTCACATCCAGCTACAGAGTATTTTAACAGGGGACAATGAAGATACACCAAAAAAGAGAGTTGAAAAGAAGGAATTTCAGGCACATTTACTGAATGGAGATGCACAGGAGAGAGGATAAACCTTTCTTTAGCTTTCTGGTTAACTCATATCACCACACCACACTTTACTTGCAGAGTCCTGGCGGTTGCTAACAGTGCTGCTCAATGTGCAGTTCTCTAACACTAACATAAACATGAAGTATACTCCCAACACCCAGGCATCCCTGATGAAAACCTCAACATTGGCAGTAGGGTCACTTCTAGACTTGACAAACTTTATGGAGAGCCTTGCAGCCTATGTAGATCACCAGTCATGGATGTTAAGTTTTCCTTATAGAAATTCAAAGTCAAGACACTTGGATTCTAAGTCAAACCCCACTCTCACACTTTCAAGGATAACTTGATTGAATTTGGCCCATAGAAACAGAAGTAGGAAGAAAGAAAAAGGAATGAAAACATCAAAAGGAGGGTTAAGAAATATATTTTAAGAAGTATTCCCTCCATAGAAAGTCAAGCTAAACATGTTTTGAGTTAGTTACCATTTAGATACTATGGAAAATGAATGACAGAAGAGACTTAAATATATTTTAGTGAAAACAGAGTAGTCTTTACCTTATCATTTAGAAGTGGTTTGATCTCTGTGAGTTGAACATCCTGGAGTTCATCCATGAGGACAGATGAGAGGATTCTCAAGAAGAAAGCAGTAACTCTGAAACAGAAGAGAAGCAAGTGAAAAAAAAGGCTTAAAGTAGGAGCTGGAAACTAACAGTCACACTACATCTATTTATTCAACTATCAGAGCTTAGTGTCATGCACTTCTCAAGGTGCTAAAGACACAGGAAACTTGATAGTTATGGCAGACAGACTCTAAAGTGGCCTCCATAATCTCTGCCCCCTGATATTCACCTACTCGCATAATCCCCACCATTAGAGTGGGCAGGGACCCATGGCTTGCTTTTAAATAATATAAAATGGCAATGCATAGGCATGCCTTGGAGATATTGTAGGTTCAGTTCAAAATCACTGCAATAAAGTGAGTCACATGAATTTTCTGGTTTTCCACTGCATACAGAAGTTATGTTTACACTACACTGTAGTCTATTAAGTGCGCAACAGCATTGTCTAAAAAAAAGAGTACATATCTTAATTTAAAAATACTTTAGCAATCACCTGAGCTTTCAGCAAGTCATATCACTGATCATAGATTACCATAACAAAAACAGTAATAATGAAAGAGTTTGAAATATTGTGAAAATTACTAAAATGGGACAGAGACATAAACTGAGCGGATGCTGTTGGAAAAATAGCACCACCAGACTTGCTTGATGCCAGGTTGTCACAAACCTTCAATTTGTAAAAAATGCACTATTAGTGAAGCACAATAAAGCAAAGTGCAATAAAACAATATCTGCCTGTACATGAGTATCTGTACATGATTACATTACATAATTAATATCTTAACATCCATCTTGCTGACTCCACGTCATTAACAAGCACCCCAAACATTTGTACCACTTAAGAGAGCACAAACCTGATGATATTTAAACTCACTGTAGAACATGATTTTATTCTCAGATCCCAGGCACCGTATAAACTTGACTGAGATACTAAATGCCCAGAAGTGTACTTTTATCTTGTTTTGTTTTTATACCAGTTACATTTCAAAAGGGGGATGAGGGCTTGAATCTTTTACCATAAATTTCAGCCAGGATCTATAATCCTCTATTTTACAGTCCCATTTTGGCCCAGTTAACTCTCAAAATATTGGCCTAAGTGGGTTCTATGCATGGTATGCTTACCTATCAGTCTAAACTGTGCTACTTTTCATTTGGACTTCATTATCAGTAATTTAAAATGGCAATTTTAAAGTTCTTTATTCTATTATAAAAGCAAAATGCTCACTGTAGAAAATGTGGCAATCATGGAATAATCAAAAGATGTTTTATTTACATTCTTTCTGTCTAAAGACAACCACTGTTAACATATTAGTCTATTTCCATTTGTTCTTTTTTCCATGTAAAACAGTGATTTCCTGAAACTGTCTTTCCAACCTATCACTTTATTTCCTACTTTAATTCACTCACTTGAAAGCAGGTACTTCAAGATGTTAATTCTTCAAATGTGACTCCACATGTGTGTTTGTGTGTGTGGGGGGGTGGTTGTCAAGGAGCCTCAGGGTCAGAGGAAAGCCTAAGGTGCCCTTAGGCCCAAAGTGCCTGGCACTGACCTAGTGTTCCCATGCACTTTTTAAAGATGAAGAAAAATGTGATATTTGTGCCAGGACAAACATTTAAACAATGGCACAAATTAAATGGGAAGGTGTCCCTATCAGTTGAGCCCGATGCACTCAATGCAGGACAGTAAGTTGCTCCAGTGTGACTTAGAAATTGGCAACAAGACAGTAGATGTTCACCTTCCATATTATAGGGGACCTGATGGATTCTTCCAGAGACTGAATCTTTGCTCAGTTCTTATTGTCCTGAGATCTTGCCAATGAGCAGTTTTATAACATCAGTAAGAAAACTAAGATCACATGGTGGAAAATGCCATTTCCAGATCCCTAAACTACACAGCCTGGCTCCCTTCTGGGGATTTAAGACCTGCAGTTACCTCATCTGCACAAATGAAATAGTTGCCAGACTCAATCCTGGTACTAAGGGCTATTAATATTTTTTAAAGGCTAGCAGGGATTACATAAACTGCAGCAAATAACACAATGTTCACCTTCTTTCCCAGTTTTACGAGGTAGAGGGAAGACTGACAAGTAAAAACCAGCCATCCTCCAGCTGAGGATTTTAAAAAGATTCAACAAGCCAGACCAACTAGAAGAGGAATATTCTGGGGAAGAGAGGAATTCAGTAGTTTACTGCAGCAATCTCACTAAAAAGTGACAGCAGTCTGACCATGCTTTTGGAATCACAGCAATAAAGAGAAAGGAAGATCTGGGATATAAGTTGGTAAAAATAGCTAAGGTCAGAAAAGTCAGATTTTACTAAAGTTTCTAGTTACAGATTTAAAAGAATGATGATGTAATGAACGAAAAGAGGAACTGAGAAGCAATAACAGAGAAATTGGTTAAAAAAATTGATTTTGAGTCAGAGCTGAACTTTGGGCACTGAAGAGACCCAAACACAGACAGGAATTAGAATTAATGAGGAAAATCTGTAGGCACTCACCAAACCAGAGATAAGGCTCTGGGCTCTTCTGAAAGACAACTTAGTGATGGAAAAGAAAGCAGAACCAGTCTGCCTTCTTTTGTCTCTACAAAGAAAAAAAGAAGCTCATAGATGCAAGAGGAAAAGCAAAAATACAGTGTCAAAGTAGTCAAGGGAGATTCACATGAAAGGGGAGTAAAACTCAAAAGCTGAAGAGTTGAGGAGCATGAGGACTAAGAAAGGGCCATTAGCTTTGGACAGTATAAATCAGTGGGATTAAAATCTAGGGAAAATGAGATTCACTTCTCTGTGCTAAAAAGCTCATGACTATGTAGGTCATTTTTAGAAATACGAAACTGACATTTCTGAGTTGAAATGCAAGCAAAAATGTTCTTAGGATGGCCAGGAAAGACACGGGTAACAGTGTTCTTTGATACTCAGAATCAGCACTGAGAGGGCCTTTAAAGATCATCAACACTACTGACTTCTAATTTTGGCATCCAAACTCTGAAAAAGAAAAAAGTGTAGGTGGTTTGCTGGAGTGGTGATGAGACCAGTTAAGGCTCTACAGAACACTGTCAAGTCCATTGATACAGTATCACAATACCTCCCAGGTTATCACAGATGAAAAGACACTGGGGTGTAAAGGAGAGAAATTTAGTAGACTGCCTCACTGCACCCACTCCACACTAAGGACCTCTTTATTTCCGGTCCTAAATCATACTGAGCGATTAGGATCAGGTCTCTAGGACTAAATCCTACTATAAAGTTAGTAACAAGAAGGCATAGATTTGGAACTGGCGTTCACTTTCACCCATTAATTCAAAGGAGTACAGGAGATTAAGTCTATAAGCAAATCCCCACAGTTCAAAGCAGTATAAACATGAGTCTATGAACTGGACAAACTCTAAAGCAGTTTCTCAACCCCAGCACCACTGACATTTTGGGTCAAATAATTCTGTGATGGGGACCAGCCTGTGCACTGTAGAATGTCTGGCAGCAGCATTCTGACCTGTACACAACACATGACAGAAGCACACTCCTCCAACAGCTGTGACAATAAAAAATGTCTCCAGATATTGCCAAATGTCCTCTGGGGGGCAAAATGGCCCCCACTTAAGAGGCACTGCTCTAAGGGTTACTGAGGTTGGGGCAAAGGTCAGTTAATACAAGGTTGTGGGTGCTGAGAGTTTCATGGAGGAGATTAATATTTGAACTGGACCTTCAAGAAGAGATTAAATTTCTGTAGGTGAGGATAAGGAAAGAATAAAAGAAGGAATTCCAGAAAGGAAAGAGAGCTTAAAAGCAAGCAGATGAGAAGCACAGGTATGCTGGAAAATGTTCCAGTTTGGCAGAAGAGCAGAGACTCGGAGATAAGGCTAAAAACACCTACTGGAGTCAGGTCACAAATAACTCTCGATCAACTAATAGGAGACACACACACATAATGAGGCAGCCAACAATATAAGATACCACACAGATGTTTTAATAGTGTGAATCAAACCAGTGGTATTTCCAGGTGTCCTACCTCCCCAAAAGGACAGAATGTTGCTTGAGTATCATGTCTTAACACTGCACCTGGTGTTCACTACATTCAGTCAAGACTAAACAAAGCTCAGAACCAGTTCATAGGTGGGAGAAGTAACTAAGGACTGGAATGGTGAGGAGTTTCCCAAAGAAGGTAAGAATTACAAAACTTGAATGGATATGTTTTGGGTAGTTGGAAGGGAGGAAAGGATATTCCAGGTGCAGACATTTGGGATGGGAAAGAAATAAAGGTCCACAATATTATCTAGGAGATACCAAGAAAAATGTAGCTGGGAAAGAAGACAGGAGTGGTCAGAACAAAAGAGCACATGAATCAGGCTTTACTGTGTGCACAACCACTGAGGGTTCCTGAGGTTTAAAGAACTGAGAATAACAGTTCTTTAAAATATGGTCAACTTCCCATCTATATGCTGCTTATAAGAGACTCACCTCAAACCCAAAGACATGCACAGACTAAAAGTGGAGGGATGGAAAAAGATATTTCATGCAAACAACAGGTAGAAAAAAGCAGGGCTTGCAGTACTAGTTTCAGACAAAATAGACTTCAAAACAAAAAAGTAATAAGAGATAATGAAGGACATTACATAATGATAAAGGGGTCAGTCCAACAAGAGGAATATAACCATTATAAATAAATATGCACCCAATACAGGAGCACCAGCATACGTGAAACAAATACTAACAGAATTAAAGGAGGAAATACAATGCAATGCATTCATTTTGGGAGACTTCAACACACCACTCACTCCAAAGTATAGATCCACCAGACAGAAAATAAGTAAGGACACAGAGGCACTGAACAACACACTAGAACAGATGGACCTAACAGACATCTATAGAACTCTACATCCAAAAGCAACAGGATACACATTCTTCTCAAGTGCACATGGAACATTCTCCAGAATAGGCCACATACTAGGCCACAAAAAGAGCCTCAGTAAATTCCAAAAGATTGAAATTCTACCAACCAACTTTTCAGACCACAAAGGTATAAAACTAGAAATAA